TATAGCAATGACATAGAACACTAACCTCAAGTGTAGACGAAAACTGATTTCAAACTCGAATCCAATCGGGGAGAAAGATCAAGTTCGTCAAATGACACGATAATGTAGATGCTTTTCACTGTAAAACTGCTCGAAAATGGTGTGCAGAGGTAGCTGTTGTCGTCGTTCTCAAAAACCCTGGTTGCGCGAGACGAGGAAGTGGGTCTGGAGGGAAATAAAATAGACTTTTTACGTCGCGCATCCCAGCATGCGACGTAAAAAGCCATCTTTTACGTCGCGCCTCCCAGGTGCGACGTAAAAGAGGCTCTTTACGTCGCATACTGGGATGTGCGACGTAAAATTTTTGTCCCATATTTACAAAATTGCCACCGCATTTTATTTACGTCGAATATTCATGCATGCATCGACAATTGGGTGACGTAAAAACCCTATTCTGCACTAGTGGTGGTTGCGTTTAACTATGTGGTTGGAATGCAATTGAAATCTTAGTAATTAGTGTCTAAAAATAATGGTTAAGAAATTCAGAATAGAAAAATCAAATTGGAATTTACATTGTGATTACATTAGTTTGTTATAAGTAAGCAAGATGTTTATGAATCAATTCAATTCAGTTTCAAGAAAGAATATAAATCAAACTGGTTAATGTTTGGTTTAATTTTGTCTATTATTTCATCAAATCCAAAATGAGATTGACTAATTTATGTGCATAATTAGTGTTGTAGTCTTCATAATTTGGTCAAATTTAAACCAAATAAAAAAAAAATCCTCAAGTTAAATCAAACCAATAAATAAACTTATTTAATCATCACAAGTCAATTTTTGTTCTCTAAATTGTCTTTGTCTTTTATTTTGTAATTTTTCCTCCCTGTTAATACCAAATTTCACTTAATAATTTATTAATTGTCCTAGAAAATCTCTTTTCACTTTCTGAAAAATACAACTGTCTTTTAATTATTACTGTGCGTGTGTGAAATTATATGGCGTTATTACATATATTAAACATAAACATTAAATTTATTATTTTTAATAAATTTTTTATTTTTTTGTTATTTTAATATTTTCTTTATTTAAAGTCATTTTTAATAATTTAGTATTATTTCTCTATAATAAATATAATTAAAATAATAAAAATTAATTATTGTAATTAAATTTTACGAACAATATATATTTAAAAATATTTTTTTTCAATGGGATATATTTTATAACGGATAAAGTAATTATTTTATTAAAATTACTGGTGCATAATATTTACACATGACTGACAATTAATTTTTATCTGAATATTTCATTTATTTCACCTAATAATATCTCCTTTTCTAATTATATATTTTTTCATTCATAATGTTTAAATTCAAAACCTTATGTTTACTACCACTAAAAACAATTTTTTTTCCGCTTATCATTATTTTAACATAAATTTTTATATATAACATATTGTATTAGCATATTTTTATAAAAAAATCAAACATTTCGAGATTTTTTTCTTCGTTAACATCCTATTAAATTTATAATTCAGAAATAACATCATTCTAATAATATTTACTTGACTAGCACAATTTTCTTACACATATGGAATTCGATTATTAGAGTATGAATTTCAACCTCACTAATTAATATAATTTTAAAAATAAAATAATATTTATTAATATAATAATTAAATATAATAATTAAATATAATAATTAAATATAATAATTAAATATAAATATATATATTTTATATAAAATATATATATAAATATTATATATATATATATATATATTCTTTTAAAAAATTTGTTTATATAATTGTATTATTAATATATTTTTATAAATATAGTAAAAACAAATATATTTAATATATATATATATATATAATATTTAAATATTTATTTATATTTTTATAAATATAATAAAATTTAATAAATATATATTTATATCTTTCTATATAAAAATTGTACATAAATAAATTATATATATTATTTAAATATATTTTTAATATAAAATAATTTTAATAAGTAAAAATAATATTTTTATAGAAATATATAAATATTTTTATTATATTTTAATATATTTTTACTATATTTATAAAAATATATTAATAATATAATTATATAATATATTTTTATGTTATTTTTGCTAGTAAGGTAAATATTATTAGAATGATGTTATTTCTAGATTATAAAGTTAATAGGATATTAATAAAGAAAAAAATATCAAAATATTTGATTTTTTTATAAAAGTGTGTTACTGTAAATATTAAATACAATATGTTATATATGAAAATTTATTTTAAAATAATGCTAAGCGGAAAAAAATCACTAAAAACATGCTTGTAATTTAATCCATAATCATGCTTGTAATTTAATCCATAATCTCAAGTTCGAATTCTTAATTAATATACAACTTCGTTAAATACTCGAAGAAAAAGCTTTTACTGCTCATAATAATTTTACGAGGTATCTCCTGAAGAGATGTATGCGTTTCTTAAAACAATATTTATTTTTAGTTTTTTCTTCAATCTCTCATAAAGTTATGAAACATATAACAGAGTATGCATTTTTAGTTTGAGAAGTTTATTTGTCCAAAAAATATCCTTTAACTTTTGAAATAGTAATTATTTTTAAAAGAATTATCATATACTTATCAAGATGCTAAATCAGGATCATGCTCTTTAATTTTAAAATATAGATTTTAATTTTATATTTTTAATAAATTAATATATTTTTTCTTGTGTTTTAAATATAGTATTTTATGCGATAGTCTCAACAAAATTTATACATATAAAATTTAAATACTTAAAATAGTTCAAAATATAATTCCATAATATATATATATATATATATATATATATATATATATATATAATATGTGAAATAATAAAAATATCTAAAATTTTATCCCAACAAATTTGTTGAGGCTAATACATATATTATTTATTTCCATGTAACATCCAATTATTATAATTTAAAACAATAAAAAATATATAAAGTAAACTTGTGTTTCAAAATAAATATTAGATATTAAATTAAACTCAAAAATCAACATTTATCATATTACAATTTTCTCAAAATGCTCAACACTAAGATACTCTTAATAATGTGATTACTAACTTATCAAATATAATTATTTTTCATATAGTAAAATAAGTCATACAAATATTTGTAAACTTTCCCTACTTGATCATTTCATTTATGTGATTTTATTTATCAATAAAATTAGAAATAATCTCTTATTGAATATCAAATTTAATATTCATGCACACTACATCCCACATATATGAGAATATTTCTTAGTATTTCTTACCTTACAACACATTCTCACAAATAACATATTCATCTCATTCACACCTTATTTTAAAAAAATTATTTCTAATTGGTTTAGTAATTAACATAATATTCTAAATACAAACATATATAATAATTAATTTAATATAATTAAAGATTTTTAAAGCCCTTAAAGTTATGAGAAGAAATTATTTTTTTATTTATATAAAAATGACTAAGCAAAATTGAAAAGCATTAAGCAACTTTCAATTTTAGTGAGCAAAATTTAAACACTTGAATGGAGTATGGAGACACTTATAGTGTTTGTTTTTTCATTTTTTTTTTTGAGTAAAATAACATTCTATCCGGCAAAATTTTTGCAAAAATTAGTCATTTGTCACTATCCCAAATTTGTTGGACCAATTAAAAATGTTGAACGAAACAAAATCCTATCATTTTGAATATTATAAAAACCAATTATCAACTCACATCCAATATTCAATTGCAATAATCAAACAATTAACACACATGTAATCACATAATCAAGTTTAATTCAATTCAAGCAATATGACAAGTCAACTTTGCCCTTCAAGTAATTTGGAGTACTATTAAAATTGAAGAATAACTAGTTTAGGGTACCTCACACTAGTGGAAAAATAGCTTTCTATGACGGGTTTTTATCACGGTTGTAATCCACCCGTCATAGTATGTGGCGCGGTGGCAATTTTGTAATAAAATCATAAACTTTCTATGTCGGGTAAGTTTTAACCGACATAGTAAGTGGAAAGGTCACTTTCTATGTCGGGTAACATTTACCCGACGTAGAAAGTTAACTTTCTATGTCGGGTAAATCTTAACCGACGTAGAAAGTTAACTTTCTATGTCGGGTAAATCTTAACCGACGTAGAAAGTCTCTTTGATGACGGGTGTTTGGGCAACCGACATAGTATCTTCTGTTTTACCTCCCACGCTTCATTTCATTTCTTCACTTCCTCCCCATAGCAGAGCTCCCCGTACGTTTCTCCCTTTCTCCCTAAGCTCCATTTCCTTTCATCAGCTCACCCGTTCGCTTGTATACGTTTCTCCGCACCCACATTTGCTCGTCACGCCACCCGCCAACGCTTCGTGCCGCCTGCTGCTACCGGTGCCCGTCGCCTCGAGATACCCACCCAGCTCCGCACGTCACGCCACTTGCCACCTCTCGTAGGTCTTCAAGAGGTAAGTTTTCGTGCTTGCTTTAGCCATTTTAGGTTTACAGCTTTGAATGTAGGTTTACAGTATTGAATGTAGTAAGTAATAATGCTCTCAAGAGAGGGAAACATCACGGGTGCCTTTAGCTAATTTAGAGATGTATTGTAAGTAGTTTAGTCATTTGAATGTGTTGTTGTAGGCATTCTTTCGTGATTTTGATTTTGAACATTAGATTTGTATTATAATGTAGTTATTTTGAGAGTGGAGTTGGATTTCGTGTAGGCATTATAAGGTAGTTATTTCGTGTTTATGTAGCTAATTTGATTTTGAAAATTAGATTTGTAACAATGGATCGGAGTTGGATCAATTATAGACGAACAACAAATGAATATGAGAGTGGAGTAGAACAATTCCTTGAATTTGCTAAGATGAATGTTCCGGATAATGATGGAAGATTCTATTGCCCTTGTGTTAACTGCTTGAATGAGCGAAGATTACCGACTGAAGTTATTCGGGAACATGTTCTTTGTGATGGTTTCCTAAAGAGTTACATAAAGTGGACATTGTTTATTGGAAAATCCCTTGCCCTGGTGACAATATTTTGTTGGGATCAAATTCAGCTTTTCTATGTGCAAAAAGTTTCCATTTTGAACCAAAGTGTTCCATCCATTGTTCTTGTGTTTTGTTCCCGGTGAGATATTCCGTGATCTTAATACCAGCACGCTTGCAAAACTCTAATATTTGTTGGTTTTGAGCCTGAAATTTCTCCACCATATCTAAGGAATCTGCAGTACGCAGAAAACTTACAGCGTAGAAAACATCTTCCTCTGGTGTAACTGGTGACATCTTATCATCCCACCTGACAATTATTAATGCATGTTCTTCAATTTAACTCTCACATAAGTATAAATCTATGTATAAATCCCATATAATTTGTGCTTATGAACTTACTTGTTTCGATTAATTGGGTAGACCAAAGAAATTCCACTAGAAATGTTCTGCTTAAGAATAATGTTCTTGAAGACACCTTCGTTAAAATCCAAGATTCGAGATCTTGGAATCCAGATGTTCAACCAAGGATGAGTAACTTCCCAAAGTCCTTTTGACCTTAGAAACAGCTCATCTGCCTGAACTCTGTTCAGAAACTCCTCGTATGATGCATCTTTTTCGAAGATAAACGTTGGTACGAAACTTAACCCTTTCACCAAATCTGCCACATCCTATTCAACAAACAAGAAGATAACCAATTTAGTGAAACAAATTATTCATACACAAATACACATAATGAGTTTGTTTGAATTGTCTTGTGATATCTTAGTTTTGATAAAAACAAATTCTTTTCAACCAGAGTAGGTTATGGATGGTAACTAAAGTCGTCTTATTTAAGATTGTTATACAAGTAACTAAAGTCTTATTTAATATTGTTATACAAGTAACTATTTAATATGTTATCGATATATGATAGCCGTAATTTGCAACATTTGTTTCAAGTTACCTTCTGGACACGTGCTTGAGAGTTGTTGTCATAGTATTTGACAAGCTCTATGATGTAGATAATGCCATTCTGAGTTACTAGTGAAGTTATCCTTTGATGATTAGAATCTGGATAAAAGGAAAGATCCAGTGGTGGCTGATTCAATAGAAGCTTGCCTTCTACATAATCTGATGCAGTAGTGTCGTTCTTTTCACTGAAACAGATTAAATGTTCTTGATCTCTAGAAAATGCAGTGAAGTTGGTGTAAAGCAGATGGAGCCATTTCACCTACAAATAATGTTTCACATAAATGTTTCATTTTCTAATTTTTTAGAATAATTAAATCACACTTTTTATATAGACATAGTGTTACCCTAGATGGTGCAGGAAAAGGGGAAAAATGATAGTTACCCTAGTTGGTGCAGGTCCTAGAGGTATTCTTGCTCTTGTTATCACCCCAAATTGACCTAATCCTCCAAGAGCACCATAAAATAATTCTGAGTTCTTCTCCCTAGAGCAACTCACTAGGTCTCCTTTCCCTGCATAAATAAACCACATATTGTCTTAAGACTTTATATCTGGAAACAAACATGCATAGAAACAAAGATGCATTAAAACAAGCATTTGAAACTTAAAAATTATTTATTAGTAAGTTCAAAAGTTTAATTTCTTATGAATTTATTCTGTCAAACTCGTTGTTATCTCTCTTTTACTTTACTCCCAAAATTTTCCCTTCTGTTCTTAAAATCTATTTTTCATGAGTTGATTGATACATTATCTCATATATCCACACTCAATTGATTTGATATAAATTAAGTAATATAGAAAACCGAATATAATTTTTGTTTTTTATTATATTATAAGTGTTAACCGACATAGAAAGTGTTATGACAGGTCAAAATCAGCTTATGATCGACTAGATTAGCTTTATGACCGATCATAACCAGCTATGACCGATCAGAAAAGCTCATACAAAATAATACTTTCTACGCTCGGTTCCTCGGATAACCGACGTAGAAAGTATTTCTATGACCGATCGAACCACTTATGATCGATCGAATAGCACACAGAAAGTAGGGCTTTCTACGTCGGTTCCTAATAATCGACGTAGAAAGTAAGACTTTCTACGTCGGGTATTAGGAACCGACGTAGAAAGCCTTACTTTCTATGACCCCCGTATCTATGTCGCCTCTTTAACCGACGTCGAAAGCCCATTTTAACCGATGTAAAAAGCCTTTTCTGCAGTAGTGTCAACCATAATATCTTCATGCTTGAAACCCCAAATTCCTAAATGCACAAGAAGATAGATCCCTCACTAGTGCAAAAAGGGGCTTTTACGTCAAGTATTTAGGGCTTTTTACGTCGTATTTAAGTCCGACGTTAAAACGGGAGACGTAAATTTACGTCGGACCCTTTAGCCCGACGTAGATTTACGTCAGTCATCAAGACCCGACGTAATTTTGCGTGGCATATACCACTAAACAGACGTAAAAACTTTCGAAAATTAAAAAAAAAAACAGCAAATTTACGTCGCATATGCCATATGCGACGTAAATTTGCTGTTTTTTTTTTAAATTGGGTTTATTTATTCTGTTTTAAAACTAAAACCTGTAAATATTACAACCAGACAGTCCAGAGGTTCAGTTTTCTTTAGCTAGTAAATTAAAAATATAATATTATATAATTCAAATTACATAATAAATCAATATAATACAAACATACAAACTAAAAAATCTATTACAAACTAAAAGTTAATACAAACTAAGCTACCTAAACTACATAATACACACAATATAATACGAACAAGAACTTAAAAAATTATGTACTAGAATTGTTGAACAAAAAATTTTGCCCATTGTTCTCTAATTTGTGTAATATCATATTCTGGTAATGGAGATGGATCTTGAAATACCTGAAACATGAATTTGACTCTTGTAAACATGCAACATGAATAAAGTTAAATAAACTTAACTAATGTTAAAAGTAATTACCTCCGTCCAAGAATCAATTAAACCCGCACAAACTATGACTCTCATCCAATACATTACATAGTAACCACATTCAAACGAGTCTCGTTTGCTTATTAGACTGAAATGATGAAAAAAACATAATATTATTTTCAAAATTTAAATACAAACTATAATTATGGTATTCACTTATATAAATAAGTTTCTAACCTTAGGATAAATGAACTACAAAGTCTTTGTTCTAGGTTTTCCACTTAGAACATTAGTTCCAAACACGATTCTAAGTGAAAAAAAAGTCATATATTATTCAATATGTATTCACAATTTAAAAACATAATTAATGAATAAAAGATAAAGTTACCCTTGTAATAAACTTTTCATTTCTTGACTCGGTTTCCCATGTAATGAACAAAACCACACCACGAGTGTAATCCAGGGGTATGATTACAATTAACTGCCAATGGGACCTACATTGTATGACATAAAAATTAGTTACAAAAATATAAATTAAAATACTAACCCTTCAATGTATGGAGCCAAATATATATGTCTTTTTGAGTCACTCATCCATGTTTGCATATATTGTTGGATTCCAACCTTTGTATTTCCAGATTTTTGGATGGATTGAGGCTCAATAAATTCGTATACTTCGGATTTTTCTTGTTCCACACTCAATTTGTCCATGTACCTAAAACAATTAATTATAAGTTGAATATAATTATTATAATCTTAGAAACATAAATGAGAATGACTTACATTGCCCACAATTGTATGATGGAAATGTTTAACATGCAATTTCCCCCAGCAATTTCTAAAGCATCGGGCAAGGAAATGTATAATGGAATACTGGAACTATCAATTCCAAACACTCTAACATCCCATTGTATCTGACACGGTCTCTTCCTCAACCGTGATAATATGGTCAACAACATAGAGATGAGATCATCATCACATTCTGTCAGATCCTGATCAATAATAGGTTGTTTTTTATGCTTACCACGACGCTAAGGCCTCCTAAACAAATGATAACAATGAATTAAACATTTATATAATTATAATAGTAGAAAAGAGAAAATAGACAATATATATATATATATATATATATATATATATATATATATACCTATGATTACTGTGCTGATAGTGGCATAACCAAACGTCTTGGCCAAGCCAAGAATGTCCCGCTTGCTGCCCCACTAATTGAATCTCTTCATTAAGAAAAGGCACTCGGAGCATTAGCATCATGAACTTCATCAACTACTACTCGTGTTCAGTCTGCATGTAGAGGGACACCATGGATGGTTAAGCCACCCTCAAAAACTCGACCAATAGCCACTAGACGCGGGGGGTCATCTTCAACATATAACTCACACTGGTGTGATGCATCAGTCTGAGTATATTCTCCTGAAGGATCAACAGTAGTAGCAGCACAACTCCCTTTAGTGCTGACTCGAACAACATTATGTTCAATTGTTTGAGGTGTTCCTTGAGTCTGTTGCTGAGAGCGGGCGAGAGATTCAATTTTTTCATCAAACTCTTGCTGCAAGGACTGCCTTATTTGATTTAACTTTTCTTCAAACTGCATCTCCATTTTATGCAAGGCCTCCTGGCTGCAAGAGTCAGCAGTGGTCCTTCGTGATGTTGGACCAAAGTAATCACGAAGGCCCCAGGTTCCACTAACACCACGCACACGTCCTGAGTAATCTGGTTTTCCTATGGCTGTCGCCAATATATCTTGTTGACCATGAGGAATAAATGATCCTTGGATGGTCTGCTCAACTAAATCATCCTACAACACATTAACAATAATTAAGTCATACATTAACTTTCACATTAGAATCAATTCAAATTGACATTATGACTTACGATTTTCTGAGCAATGATTCGTGCAGACTCAGAAGTCATTTGTCCATCAGATTTTGTCCGGGCTGCCTTCCACATCTGATAGCGAGGGGGTGGAGATGCAAGGTCAGTAGAATCAACTCCTGCTGACTCTTCTCTGGATTTCATGAGACGTTGCTCCAATAATGCATACCCTCCTTGTGACAATACATGGGGTGCATCATTCAACCTCTGACGTTGTTGGGCAGCACGTCTTTTATCCTGCCAAGAAGGGTCCATTCGGCTGGCACAAAACTGCAACCAATCCTCCTCACTAATTTGATACTTTAGACAGGGAGATTCATCTTGAAACTTTCCAAATACATACTCCCGTGTCAAGAAAGTCTTAAAGTCCCTCCATCTAATGGCAATGGAGGATAAAATCTTCTTCCTCATCACCTCAGTGTTAGGAACATCAAAATCTTGCTGTGAAATGACCAATAAATGTTAAATTCAAATAATAATGATATATAAAGTATTCAACAAATATAGAAATACCTGAACATCCTGCCACATGAGGTTCTTCTCGGTTTCCTCTACATCATCCCAAGATGGAGTAGTAATCGGAACATGGTGTCGAGCTAGTAGTCCCAAATAGCTCTTAAACTTAGCAGCATTTGGGCCAGATGCCTTACCAGAACGTGGATCAACTTCAACTTGAGTTTTCTCTCTAGCTACCCTCCTTGCTGTCAACCCCTTTAACCGAGTGACAGATCTACCTTTATCACCACTTCCGCTCCTGCCACTGCCACTACCACTACCAGTACCAGCTGTGGAATCCGACATATCCTGAAAAACAAAACAATATGAAGTCAACATACTTTATAAGTTTGAATAAAAAGAACTAGAAAATGTGAAGATAAACACCTATTATGTTGGTATGTTTTCCCATATCCCTTCATCATGATCACTTCGAATTGCATGTATGTCATCAACTTCATTGTCAACTATGTCATCAAATGGTCTACTTGAAAATGAAGGTGTTTCATGTATATCTAGAGACTCATCTTCATGAATTCGGTGCATGCTTCTTCCTTCAAGGACAATTGACTATCTCTCATTACATGGATCCTTGACATAAAATATGTCTCGCTTGATATGCCAAAATAAAAGGTTCATCCTTATACCCAACTTTACTCAAATCAACCAAAGCAAATCCTAGGTCATCTGTTCGCACACCCGTATTCCCTTCAACCCATTTACACTTGAAGACAGACACCCTAAAAGTAACATAATCAATTTCCCATATCTCTTGTATGACCCCAAAATAACTCATAGAAGCTGTGATAGGATTTTTGTCTTTAGAACTAGAAAAATGCATAGATTCAGCTTGAATTGTGACCCCACTATTTTGTACTCTACCTTTATCATCTTCTATTTTTGAGTAGAAACAATAGTTATTAATGTCATACCCACCAAATGTAATGACATCACTATTAGGCCCACGAGCAAGTCTCAAAAGTGTTTCTGAAGCATTAATCTCAACATATACCCTTTTTATAAACCAAGAAAGGAAATTTTTGTTATGTTCATTCAATACCCATTTTTCATTCATTCGTGGATGTGTTGCCTTTATTTTAGTTATGTGTTGTGATATGTAAGGGATTACTTCATCAGTGTTGTTCAATATGTATAAATGTGCTTGGTCAACTTCTTTCCGACTAACATTTTTAATCTTTAAATTTTGAGTACCCTTACCTTCACATCTTC